TATATATATATGTTATAGGTGTTTAGTGTTTTTAATTGTGGCTAATTCTGGTGAGTTTGTTCCGGCAGTGTCAGTACTGGAAGAAGTCCGAGGATGTGAAGTGTGCCAATGAGAGGTTCATGTTATACGAACACTGGGCCAGGTTTGGCAAGTTCTACAAAGAGCAACCTCTGGACCTCATCAGGTGAGTAAATTAATACATTAACATTAAAACTGATATAAAGCGACCCCATTACATATATAATGACTATATACAAAGTTACAGTATAACCACATCAGTGTACACTGAACAGAACAATGACACACTGACACTTGGCGCCTGGGACGCTGGCACTTGGCATCCAGAACACTGACGCTTGGTGCCTAGAACACTGACACTTGGCACCTAGAACACTGACACTTGGTGCCTAGAACAATGAGACACTGACACTTGGGGGTCCAGAGCAATGACACACTGACACCTGGCGCCTAGAACAATGACACACTGACACTCGGGGATCTTAGTACATGTCACTCTTCATTCTTATGTAGTCAGCGCTTTGCTGGAATCGCTATTATATGCAGCCCGTGTGACACCTTCATATCGGTATTGTGAGAGATCCGGAGCTGAGAACATGGTAGAAGTTCAGGAGATCTCGGGTCACTGTTGCTGTGTGTTATTTTTCCTCTTCTCCTCGTCGGGATTTGATTGGCTGAGTGTTTATTTTTCTGCAGGAAGTATTACGGGGAGAAGATCGGCATCTACTTTGCTTGGCTGGGTTACTATACGGAAATGCTGTTCTACGCTGCTATTGTTGGGTTTTTCTGCTTCCTGTACGGCTGGATAACAATGGATGACAGCATCAGTAGGTGAGATTATTCATCTTCATAAAACAATGGCGGGACCTCCGAGCGATGACAATATGAGAAGGAAAAATAAACTAATTTCATAAGTTTAGGAAAAGTTCAAATGAGCCGAAGGGAAAAGGCCAATTTCAGAGGGAAATCGAACCAATTCTGCAACATCTTATATCATGAGTTTATTCTTATATTTTGCCTTTCTGGTTCCCCCACCCCCACCCCTGATTCCATTTTTATGTCACTATGACCTGATTCTTTAACTTTCATTATTGTTTTGTCTGCAGTAAAGAAATTTGTGATAAAGACATCGGAGGTCAGATCATTATGTGTCCCCTGTGTGATCAGCGGTGTGAATTCTGGAGATTAAATTCCACCTGTGAACCGTCCCAGGTAATCATTGCTCCACCGACCCCCTCTGAGTGAGTTATGTACAATGCCCCTCCTCCATTCTAATCAATGTCTCTCTTTCATCCAGTACTCCCATCTGTTCGACAATGTGGCCACTCTGTTCTTTGCAATATTCATGGGAATATGGGGTGAGTGACTAAGGAAGGTTCCTTCATTGTACACTGACACTTGGGGATCCCAGACCAATGACACACTGACACTTGGGAGTCCCAGGACAATGACACACTGACACTTGGGATCCCAGACCAATGACACACTGACACTTGGGGTCCCAGACCAATGACACACTGACACTCGGGTATCCAGAACAATGACACACTGACACTCGGGTATCCAGAACAATGACACACTGACACTTGGGGGTCCCAGACCAATGACACACTGACACTCGGGTATCCAGAACAATGACACACTGACACTCGGGTATCCAGAACAATGACACACTGACACTTGCTGACACTTGGGGGTCCCAGACCAATGACACACTGACACTTCGGGGTTCCAGACCAATGACACACTGACACTTGGGGATCCCAGACCAATGACACACTGACACTTGGGGGTCCCAGACCAATGACACACTGACACTTGGGTATCCAGAACAATGACACACTGACACTTGGGGGGCTCCTGTGGATTAGTGCTCGGTTGATGCTGTATTGGTCTCTTACACTCTCTGTGACTTTGCAGTGACTTTATTCCTGGAATTCTGGAAGCGGCGGCAGGCGCGGCTGGAATACGAATGGGATTTGGTAGATTTCGAAGAGGAACAGCAGCAACTACAGCTGCGTCCGGAGTATGAAGCCAAATGTACCCATAAGAAGAAGAACCCGGTCACTCAGGTAATATCTGTGTGCGTGCCGTGGCCGGCCATGTATAACAATGTATTTATTTGTAGTAAAGTGTACCTGTAACATGTACAAAGCAGAGACGGCAGGAGATGGTGTTCCCAGCTCTGAGCAATTATCTATGAAGCCACATTAAAATCATATGA